AAAGAACCCCAGTAACGGGGTGGGGGCGGGGGGCACTCAGCCACTAGAAGACCAAGAATGGAAAGGGACTCTGTGGAAAGACTGAGAAGGATGCCGAAGGCAGAGGGCCAGGTATGAGACCATGGAAGGAGGACTCTGTAGAAAGACAGGAGGGTAGAGGAGACCCTAAAGGCCCAGGATGGAATCCTGGGTGAAAGGCCGTTGTGGGAAGATCCAAAAGGAGATAACGAAAGAGGAGGTTGGGGATCAAGAGAGCCAAGAATGGAATTCTGGTGGGAGAGCTGTGGGAAGACCTGGAGGGAAGGAGTATGTAGAAGATGCGAGCGGAAGACCCTTAAGGCCAGCAACCTGACTTACTTTCTCCGCTGGACTTGCACTGCTTTGAACACGTCTTCCCGTTTCAGCACCACGAAGTCTCCGTCGCGGATGTGGTGGTCCCCGGGATTCGGTGGCTGTGGGTCCGGCTGCTCCCCTGAGCCCTCCATGACGCTCAGCGGGTCTCCGTGCTGTGCAGCTTCTCCCCAGCCCCCTGCGCCCCGCCCCTCGTCCTCCGCTGTCTCTGCTGCCAGCCTCACTTCCCACAGACCACACAGGGACGCCGAACTCTCCGAACAGCACCGCCCCCACGTGCTGAGCACCGCTTCCGCTTTCCGGGCCGACCCTCGGGACAGCTTCCGGGAGCCTCAAGGCCTCTGTCTGGCCGAACTCTTTGATTGGCTGCACTCCGGCCCGCCCCAACTCTCTCGCGGACCCTTGGACGGAAGTTACGTCACAGCAGCGCCAAAAAGGAACTTGGAGTTCAATTTGAGGCGCCAAAGCTATTCGGGAGCCTTCGCGTTTTGGATGGGAAATTGAAGTCTCCGAGCCTCTTCAACAGATGAGATTCGGCCCCCCGGGGCGACATCAGAGAATTACAGCTGAAGAGAACTGCGGGATTTGGGCAGGGGTCACCTAAAGACTTCGGGCCTTGGAGTTTCCTCTCGGTCCCGCCGTGCTTTCCCCGGGCGGAGGGGAGAGCCGGCTGGGTGGGCCCATTCCTACCCAGGAGCCTGCCCAGGCGTGAACTAGGACAGTGTTGGGACATCTATCCTTTGCCATTCAGAACCGCGGGACTTGGGCAGGGGTCACCTAAGAACTTCGGGCCTTGGCGTTTCCTCTCGGTCCCGCCGTGCTTTCCCCGGGCGGAAGGGAGAGCCGGCTGGGTGGACCCACTCCTACCCGGGAGCCGGCCCGGGCGTGAACTAGGAAAGTGTTGGAACCTCTACCCTTTGCCAGTCAGAACTTTGCCTAGGGATCCGTAAGTGAACTAGAGTATTAAAGAAGCACAGCAGTCCCACGAGTGGCTCCTTTGCTTATTCTTCGGTCCTACTTCATTTGTGTTGGAATTTTTACTACTTACTCTAATCCTATTTCGTTCGGGAAAGATGGCATGTAGCGTTATCGAAGGAGCGCTTCAGTTTGGGAGTCTGAAGACGGAGTTTTGAGGTCAATACTGACCCCAAACAACTTTGATCTTGACCAGTTTCTCTGGGTTTTAGTTTCTTAATGTGTGACTTGGTCTAGACGATTATCAAAGTCTTGGTTTGCCCTAATATCATGAACTTTATTACTTAGAAATTTTTAAAGATGTGGATACATTCTCATAATGAATTGCACTACGGTATATGGGTATATTTATCTTTAGGATATGAACTCTTTTTAAAAATACACTTTTTTAGAACAGTTTTAGGTTTATAGAAAAATTCACAAAGTACAGAGTTCCCATACAGATCTTTTTCCCTCCTTGCACCCCCACTTCCTATATGAGCACCCTGCCTTAGAGTGTGATACATTTATTGCAATCAGTGGACCAAATTCAATACATTATTAGCTATAGTCCATAGTTTACATTAGGGTTCACTCTTTGTGTTGTATAGTTCCATGAGTTTTGACAAGTGTATAAGGTCATATATTCACCATTACAGTATCATACAGAATAGTTTCACTGCCCTAAAAATGCCCTGTGCTCCACCTATATGAATTATTTTAAAACCTTGTTTTAAAGGTCACTTATATTTCAATTTATTGATATTCAGCCACAAACTATGGATCTGAGTTTAATAAAACTTGCTATGTACAAAATAGAAAAAAATGTGAAGGGATAATTAGCAAAACATAATATGTAAACATATAGATATGCTTTCCATAAAAACTTGCATTTCGATAAATTTACCTAAAAACTGCAAATAAACCATCTAATCAATATTGACCTAGAATTGATTTTGCTTCCATTGTCTTTTTAAGACAGTTGAGGAAATCTGGAAGACTTTGGTCCCTACAGAGAAAGAAAAGTTGAAGCTTGTTTCTGTGTACCCTATCCAACTCCAGGAAGATCCACCTTAGTTGCCTATGTAAGAATATCTTTGTATCTGATAAAAGTGGGTAAGACACTGCAGGATTGATTATAGAAAGAGCTATGATATATTCCTAGTGTCTCAGGTCAGGATTATGTTAAGCCAGTGCTGCCTTATAAGTCTCAAAACACTATGAGATAGCAAATAAGCTATCTCAGAGTTAATTACCTGTTTTGTTTTTATTTCTATTGTGAGAGCTCCTTGAAAACAGATAACAGTACCTTTTCTTATTTTTATCTCATGAGCATCCAGTATACTTGGTTAAACACTTATGGTATACCTTAAAAAGAGATGAGGATTAGAAGAGAAATGGGCTTATACCATGGTGTATAATGTTATAAGCCCTGTTTGCTAGTCTCAGACTAGAATATATTAATTTTCACTTATGTTAATACATTTTTAGGAGCACTGTTTCCCCTATAGTTTTGATGCAGACTTTCCAAATCTCTATCTTTTAGAAGACATGAGTGGAGAGTATAGAGGTAGAGGATTTGGACGAGGAAGATTTCAAAACTGGAAAAGAGGAAGAGGTGGTGGGAGTTTCTCAGGGAAATGGAGAGGAAGAGGACACAGACCTGATCTGAGTAAAACCACGGGAAAACCTGCTTCTGGTAGGGGAGGTCAATGACTGTTCAATTTTTTTTCCTTCATGAAAGAATCTATTCATGCCTGGCATACAAAGCAGTTTAACTTGAATTTCAGTCTTTTACTGATGTAAAATACCCTTAATGTGGTATTTATTAATATCCATAATTCTTACTGAAGCTTACAGTTTAATATATCAAGTTCTCATTGTTGGAAAAAGCAAATTTGAAAAAAGTTTACTCTGTTTCTACTAACTGTTTTGTTTTGTTTTCAGAACAAACCCCTCAGTCTTTGCTACTACAATCAACATTGGATCAATTCATACCATATAAAGGCTGGAAGCTTTATCTCTCCGAAGGTAGACTTAAAAATGCAAGAAATATCATACATTATCATTTCTTAACTTGTCTTTTGATGCTATATCTCATATTGCTATAATTCATTTGCTTACTGATATATACTCCCTTTAATATTAGTTCACCAAAACGTTATGTTTATGTTTTAAGAACATCATAGTTAGGTTTTGCATCAGTCAGGAGAACAGAAACCACACTAGGTATTTCAGAAAAGGAATTTAATACAGGAAATTAGATATATAGATGGAAGACTAAAAGAGCCAAAAGGGAACATGAGGTAAGCCCCCAGATAGTGGTAACTTTAGGAAGCAGCAACTATCCTTATGACTGAAGAAAAAAAGAAGTTCTGAGGTTACTAGAACCTAGGAATTCAAAGGAAGGGCCACAGCATAGTTGTTGTTTTGACTTGTGAGAGGTACCCTGCAAAGCTGTGCTTAGGCTACTGAAGCAAATTAAGCTGGTTGCTGCTGGTAACTCTGGTGGGAGGATAGCACATTTGGTGCTCGCTGGAACTGTAGCTATCCTCTGCAGCTGGAGATGCTGAAAGGAATTGGAAACAAGAATAAATTCCTTTCTTCTTTGCTGCCACCTTCCATTCTCTAAAGTACCTCTAATAAAATGTACAGCTGTTAACCAATGTCACCATAAAATAATTAATTATTTAAAATTAAATAAAAATAAAGTACCTCTGGCAGAACCTGAGTCTGGGAAATGCAATGTACTGATCTTGATCATAGAATCAGATTAGAGTGGGATTGGAACTAAGAGATAATAACCAATACAGTTTTTGTATAAACACAGTTAAGGAATCTCCCTTTTATAATACAGGACACCAGCTAACATGATACATCTGTCTATATAGGTTTGAAGAATTGTCTTTCCTATACTCTTACAGCATCTATATGCTTGTTAGTTTCTTATGATATAGATACGTAGATACATAGATAGGTAGCTAAGTTTTTTTCCACTAGACTGTACAGAGCTTAAGAGCAAGGATCCTGCCCCAGAACAGGTACTCAGTTTTAATTTTTGAATGAATAAAGTGCTTTATGGAAGTTTTTTATATTGAGAGTCTGTTTTTTTCCTATTACAGAGACAAATATGTTTCAGACTACTTCATTGTACTCTTTCTGTGTGGGAGACTAATTCAAAAATGTTACAGAACTTTATAAAAGATAGCTTTACAGTTTTGGGATCAGAGTCAAGTGGTAGACTGTCTCTCCCCTGATCTCAGGGAGGGATTTGACAAGTGGCATTTTGGACTAGTATTTACTTTGTAAAGACTGTCTTCAGCTCCGTTTCAGAGTAAGAGTTTAGTTTGTGTGTCTAGCTTTGGCTTTATAGTTTTTGTTTTAAGCTTTATTATGTAAGCTATTTGAACTAATAGGTGCTATTAGGTGTTAAAGTTTTCATACAAAGATTCCCAGATATTGGTGCCTTTTTTTATTTTTTATATTTTATAATTTTTTTCATTTTTTACAGTTGACATACAATATTATATTATTTTCAGATGTACTACATAATGATTAGACATTTATATAAATAGGAAGTGATCACCCTAATAAGTTTCGTACCCATCTGACATATATTGGTGTTTTTAGGGAGAGACACTGCCTGTCTGCATTTTAGATTATGTAAACCTAAACTTGTTTCAGAGTCTTAAGTATACATTTCACACCGCTTTGTATCTAAATGTAATCAGAATGCAAAGCAATTGGAAAAATTCATCTACTATGTATATAGTGTTTCTTCTGTCTCATGAAAATTATGCTTGTGTGTATGTGATTATTAGTGCTAATGCCATATTCTTTTGATTAGTTTACAGTGAGAGCTCTCCTTTTATTGAGAAGATTCAAACATTTGAAAATTTTTTCACAAGGCATATTGATTTATATGATAAGGTAAGAGTCTCATAAAACAAAAAGCTACTAGTCCACCTTTTCGTATCATCTTATTGAACAGTGTATTTGAGGTGCTAGTGACTGTGATCATAGACACTGGAGCCATCCAGCTCTGCCACTTACCTGCAGTGTGAACTCTGTTGAATTATTTACCCTCTCTGTGCCTTGGTTTTCTCATCTAAAAGGTGAGGACAGTAGTATTACTAATACCTACTATAAGGGTTGTTAAGAGGCATAAATAGTAAGTTAATATAGTTTAAATATTAGAACCGTGCTTGGCCACAAGACAATATTTATTGTCATATAAACATGATATGCTTTTGTAAAGTGTGTAAATTGAATGCTCAGTTATAATTGATTCGTATCATCTTATTGAACAGTGTATTTGAGGTGCAAATTGAATGCTCAGTTATAATT